TGCTGTGCATAAGGTCGCTATGAGTCGGTACTGACTCAATGGCACCTGACAACAACAACATAGGTATGTGAATGTTGGACAATGAATAAGCAAGATGGTAGAATTATGGTGTTGGAAAGGTATATTGAAAGTACCACGGACTGCTAGGCGAATAAACAAATCTAGCTTGGAATGCTGGTGTGGCGCTTTAAGATAAGCACTGGATCACAAGGTTGGTTTGAACTGCAAGATCAGTGGTTCAAACACACCAGCTGCTCCTTGGAAACCTTATACAGGGTCGCTATGAGTCGGAATAGACTCGATGGCACTTAACAATATCAACAACAAAAATGTCTTGGTATAAGTACAGCCAGAATGCTTCTTAAAATTGAGGATGGCGAGACTCAGTCTCCTGTACTTTGGACATACTGTTAGGAGGGACCAGTCCCTGGTGAAGAACATCATGGTTGGGAAAGTGGAGGATCAACAAAAAAGAGAAGAATCCCAAAGATATAAAATGACACAGTGGCAGCACACTGGGCTCAAACATTACAATTATGAGGAGGGTACTGGACTGGACAGTGTTTTGTTCCACTGCATACAGGGTTTCTATGAATCCAAACCACCTGATGGCACCTAATAGCACGTAGTCCAAATGCTGCCCTTATTTTCAAAGAGAGAAATTGCGTTTTTAGTAGAGCTTCAGCCTGTAACTTTTCCCATCTCTTTAGCATACTGGCACTCACATTAAAAAATTTCAAGTCTGTTCTAGTGTCATTTTGTCAGCCATCAGTGAACTGAGCTGAACCAGTTTGAAGCCTTCAGCCATACCTTAGACAGACAACATAATAATTCAGCAAAATTTCTCCAAATTTGTACCTTTTCCTCCAAATTAGCTGTTCTTCAATCAACTATGCAGCTAGAATAAATGGTCCAAATTATGAATTTGCTTAAAGACCCCCAAATGCTTTTTAACTGTCCTTAAAATAAACTCCAAACTCCTTGTTACGGCTTACAAAGTCCTTCAAGTGCTGGAAAGTACTAAGTACTAAGTTATAGTATTGCGAAATGATAGGAACACAGAGTCTAAGGATGCCAGACTGCCAGCTCCATCATTTACAGCTCATAAATGGACAAGTAATTTGATTTTTGTCAGTAAGTTTCCTCATCTGTAAGATGTAAACAGTCGTACCTATTCTCACAGTATGAAGGCACTGCTGCTGTTCAGTGCTGTTCAGTTGGTTCCAATTGACAGTGACCCTATGTAGGGTTTCCAAGGAGTGGCTGGTGGGTTTGAACCGCCAGTTTTGCAGTTAGTACGAATCGGGTTGCTAACCTCACAGTCAGCAGTTTGAAACTACCAGCTGTTTTGCGGGAGAAAGATGAGGCTTTCTGCTCCCGAAAACATTTACAACCTCAGAAACCCTGTACACTGTCGCTATGAGTTGGAACTGACTCCACGGCCCATAACAACAAGTCCAGCGCTTATCTTACTGCCACATCCGGACTCTAGGTGGTGAAAATGATTAATACATTCCGCGAACTGAAAGGTTGAGGGTTCTTGCCTACTCAGAGGCACCTCTACTGAAAGGCCTAGTGCTCTAGTTAAAAAACCAATCAATGAAAATCTTGTAAAGTTCTGACACACACAGGGTTGCCATACTAAGGAATCTACTTGAGGGAAACTAATTTCTTTTATTTCAGGGCATGGTTGTGAATGTCAAATAAGTTGCATGCAGTGTCAGATATATATATCTGATACAAAGTAACTGTTTAGTAAATATTATCTACTGCTACTTTATCTGGACTGCCAAAAGAACCAATAGATCTGTTTTGGAAGAAGTGCAGCCAGAGTGCTCCTTGGAGGCCAGGATGGCTAAGCTTCGTCTCTCCTACTTTGGACATGTAGTCCGGAGGAAACAATCGTTGGAGAAGGATGTCATGCTGGGTAAGGTGGAAGGTCAGAGAAAAAGAGGAAGACCTCCAACGAGATGGATCGGCCAGGTGGCATCATTGATGGACTCGGGGGTGGCAGCGGTGGTGAGGTTGGCCCAGGATCGAGCATTGTTTCGTTCTGCTGTGCATGGGGTCGCTATGAGTCGGTTCCGACTCGATGGCACCTGACAACAACAACAACAACAACAACTTTATCTGGTGGAGGGTCAGAGAAAAAGAGGAAGACCCCTAACGAGATGGATTGGCCAGGTGGCATCACTGATGGACTCAAGTATGGCAGCGGTAGAGAGGTTGGCCCAGAATCGGACATTGTTTCGTTCTGTTGTGCATGGGGTCGCTATGAGTCGGTTGCGACTCAATGGCACCTGACAACAACAACTTTATCTCAAATTCATTTCTCACCTGTCTCTTGTTTGTATTCTAAATTCCATTCCTAGCAAACATCTTTCATATCTTTTCTTTAAAGGCACCCTCTCACGCTCCATTCCTCATTCTTCATGACTCATATTAGTTACCATATCCTCTGGAGAGTTGTCCAGGCTTTTCATGTACCCTGTTAGGTGACCATACTATGTGCCCCTAAGACTTAGGTGCTCCCCTTACCATAGCACTTATCCTACTTTCTGGATTCCCCATCCCCCTCACTGCTACGTTGTAAATTCTTTGTGAAGAGGGGCATGTTTATGTTGCCCACCACTTTATCCCCAATGGGGTAGCACACTGTGTGGTAAACAGTTGTTGTTGGTAAGTGCCATCGAATCGGTTCCGAACCATAGCGACCCTGTTTAGGGTTTCCGAGGAGCAGCTGGTGAGCTTGACCCAGAGTAGGCACTCAATAAACACTTTTTATGTTTATGAAATCCTCTCTCACAGAGCCTCATGTGTTCCTCTTCAAACTGTGTTGTTAAGTGCCTCATGGTGGTGGTGGTTATGTGCCGTGGAGTCGGTTCCGACTCATAGCGACCCTGCATGGGGTTTCCGAGGCCTGTACAGGGTTTCCAAGGAGCAGCTGGTGGGTTTGTGCCGCTGACCTTGCGGATAGTATTCCAGTGCTTATTCTACAGTGCCACACCAGATCTCCAAACTGTCGGCATTAGGAAAGCACAAAGTTAACATCTAAAGGTAAAAAACACATTTCTGAAAAGGCTGCCAAAGGACAAAGAACAAGTTTCTGTAACATTGGAAAGGCAGGTTTAAGCAAAATTAGGGTTTCTCAAGATTTTTTCTATGCCAAAGTGTATTAAGAATCTCCAAACTGAGTCGGAGAAGTACAGTGTGAACTCTGTTCCAAATTCGACCTAAAATTTTCTCAAAGCATCTAGAAACACATTATTGCAAAGCCTGGTTAAGGAGATGGTTCCCCAACTAGAACTTGCAAGCAAGGTGGTAATTGTGGAGGAGTATATCTCTGGAGCACTAAATCTGCAGAGTTCACCGATTTTAGGTCAGTAGTCAAGGTGGCGGCGCATAAGGAGCTCTGGTAGAGTAGTGGTTACGAATCGGACTGTGAACCGCAAGGTCAGCAGTTCAAAACTACCAGCTGTTCCACGGGAGAAAGATGAGGCGTTCTGCTCCCGTAGAGATTTACAGTCTCGGAAACCCTGTACAGGGTCGCTATGCGTCGGAACCGACTCTATGGCACATAACAACAACAGTCAAGGTGGCGCAGTCCTTAAGCGGTTCTTGGAACCTATTAAACTGTTCCTCAAGAGAAAAGACCTGGCGATCTGCTCCCGTGAAGATTTCTGCCTAGGAAACCCTATGGAGTATACTCTACCCTGTCCTATAAAGTCACTATGAGTTAGAATCTACTCAAGGGCTCATGGCAACAACAACCCTTTATGGACGCAGAAACTAAAAGCTAGAAGGAACGCTGGGCAGAAGTCAACAAAAGTTCCTCCTCTTAAAGAATCGTCGGAAACTGAGGCCCAGAAGGGCAAAACTAATAGTCCACAGCCACACCACAACGACATTTTGATACAAAAGCAAGAGTTGGAAGTAGAACCCCTGCCGCCTCTTTCGCTCTTAGGAATAATGCCTCTGACCACTGGGTCCGCCAGGTACTCAGACATCCTTTTTTTTTTTTTTTTTTAAAAAAAAAAGCCAAATCAAAGGCAGGCCAGATTTCCCAGGCATCACCCCTTAGGCCTGCAGGCAGTACCTCTCCCTTCTCTCTCCTTCCTTTAAGCCTGCTCTGTAATCCCACAAATACCCAGTCGGGGCTTGGCTGGAGGCGACTTCAATAGTTTTTCGTGTTTTTTTTTCTTTCTCTTCAGAGTTTATTTTTTGACTCTAAAGTTTTTTCATGCAAACCAAACTACCTGTGGATTAATTTCAATATCTCAGCTCAAATTCCCTGGACACGATTTTCTAGTCGACCCGATCCCGCTCCATCCCACCCCACCCGCTCTCTTCCCACTCCCGGACCCGGGGGCCCTGTTCACCTGGGACTGCCATAGCGATGTCAAGGCGCGGGGGAGGTCACTGGAGCGCTTGATTCTCGAAGGCGAACTCGCTTTCCGCCTGCCGCGAGGACAACACACAGCCAAAGCTTTGGTGTCTTCCTCTCAACGATACAGCAGGAACCTTCACAGATCTGGTAAGGCCCTTGCAGGCTCTTGACTACTGCGGAACCAATAACCGTCGATGTAGTTTCCCAGCGAGTCACATTGTAGAACGCACAAGGTTCGAACCATTTTTGCCAGCGGGGAATAAATGCGACTTGCAGACGCCTGTGGTGAACGTAAACAGCAGAAAGACTCGCAGACAGTTAATTTAAATATTTTAGTACAAATTACATTAAAGTACCAATGGTTAAGAATCTTTTCTCGTTTCCTGGTGAAAAATGGAAACCCCTACTCAGAGTTAGCGGTGCTAGGGTCCGGGAGCAACATGGCGGCGCCCGTGAGTGACTAGATTTGGGAAACTGTAGTGTTTGTTGCTGTCTTATATGACATCCCCTCGAGCTTTTCGCGACCACCCAAGTTAAGGAACAGTGGACATCTGTAGTGACTGGCCGTCATCTCTACTCCCCAAAAGGAGCAGAGGCCTGAGCACTGACCAGGATGAGCAACATCTACATCCAGGAGCCTCCCACGAATGGGAAGGTAAGAGCATCACGTAGGATATCTGGACTCCCCAAAGTGAAAGCGCCCCATTTAGGAGGGTTCTGGGGTCTTAGGAGGAGACCAGTGAGGTCTTTCCCTGCCTCCGAACACGGTTGAATCAAAATTTATATGTTGGCATGTTCAGCATGTACATGACCGAGTCATCACGTGAAGATTTCTCAGTCTACTAACCTTTCCCTTGTATTTCCTACATCTCAGTTCATACTCGTATTTTCTAGGGTCATACAATTTTTAAGGAGTCCTGGTGTAGTGCTGTAGGATAAGCAGAGTACTGCTAACCACGAGGTCGGCAGTTCAGACCCACCAACTGTTTCTCGGAAAGCCTGTACAGGGTCGCTAGGAGTCGGAACCCACTCCCTGGCACTTAACAACTAAGCATTTTTTAAAATACGTTTTAAATTTGGACACATTCTTTGCTTAACGTGGAGATCTTTCTTTCACCATTCATTCTACAGTCGCTTATTGAATGCCTGCTAGGCACCGGGCCTGTGTTATGCTCGATGCTGCGAAGATGGATGGGTGAGACCTGGTTTTTGTTCTGGAAGACCTAATTATTTACTTTGGGAGACAGAACTAGAAAAGAAAAACCTTATCATTTGGGTAGTGCGCTGTGGAGAGAGGCGGATGAAGAACTGAGAAAGTTGGGAAAAGCTCATGTCTTTTCAGCATCAAATAAGGTCTTTTAAAGCATTAAGTAAGGCGCTTTGGTAGTGTAGAGGTTATGAGTCGGGATTCTAATCACAAGGTCAGCAGTTAAAAACTACCAGCGGTTCTGGGTGAGAAAGATGAGGCTTTCTTCTCCCGTAAACGTTTACAGCCTCAGAAACCCTATACAATTGTTGTTGTTAGGTGCCTTCGAGTCGGAACCGACTCATAGCAACCCTATGTACAAAGCAACAAAACACTGCCTGGTTCTGGGCCAACCTCACTATTGTTGCCACGCTTGAGCCTATTGATGCTGCCACTTTGCCAATCTATCTCACTGGGGATCTTCCTCTTTTTTCTCTGACCTTTCACCTTACCAAACATGACATCCTTCTCCAGCGACTGGTCCCTCCTGACAATATGACGAAGTTTGGTCATCCTGGTCTCCAAGGAGCACTCTGGATGCACTTCTTCCAAAACAGATCTGTTGGTTCTTTTGGCAGCCCGTGTCACTTTCAATATTCTCCTCAAACACTATCAATTCTTCTAAGGTCTTCCTTATTCAGTATCCAGCTTTTGCATGCATATGAGGTTATTGAAAATACCATTTGCTTGGGTCAGGCGCAGCTTAGTCTTCAAGCTGACATCCTTGCACTTCAACACTTAAAAAGGTCTTGTGCAGCAGATCTGCCTAATGCAATATGTCGTTTAATTTCTTGACTGCTGCTTCCCTGAATGTTGATGGTTGATCCAAGAAGAATGAAGTCCTTGGCAACTTCAATCTTTTCTCAGTTGATAAGAATGTTGTTTATTGGTCCAGTGGTGAGGATTTTTGTTTTCTTTACATTGAGATGCAATCTATACCGTGGTCTTTGATCTTCATCAGTAAATATTTTGAGCCCTCTTCATTTTCAGCAAGCAAGGTTGTATCATCTGCATATCGTAGGTTGTTACTGAGTCTTCCTTCAATCCTATACGATAGGATATTTAAAATATTAAACATTTTATATTTAATGTAAATATCAAATTGGGTTGATATAGGTTGGAACCGACTCGACAGCATTTAACATCACCACCACCACCAAAACATCAAATGGAGTCCTGGTGTGGCGCTGTAGGATAAGCACTGGACCAACCACAAAGTCAACTTGAATTTCAAGGTCGGCGGTTCAAGCCCACTAGCTGTTCCTCGAAAACCCTATATAGGGTCGCTGAGTCAGAACCAATTCAATTGCACTGAACAGCAATAAAAAAACATTAAATGGTTGTTAGAATGGGAAATGACGGATGTTTCCACATTTGAATGGGAGAATGAGTCCCTGTTAGATTTGATGGTTAACTCACTCACTGTCATCCATTAAGGAATGTCAATTCCTGCCCTAGGTGTTTGCATGTGGAATTAGCAGAGGAATCAGCAGTGGAATAAATGGCACCTGAAATTTTAAACTGAGACCTAGTTTGTATCACATGTGAAAGCTGATGAATCAACATACTGAGAAAATAGTGGGATTGAAAGTATATAGTTGAATTGTTAAGTGCCATTGAGTCTGTTTTGACACATAGCGACGACCCGACCCTGTATAGTGTTTCCGAGGAGCCAACTTTGCGGTTCAAACCAATTTTTCAATCCAGCACATTAACCCAGAGCGTCACACCTGGACTCCGTTGTTGAATTAGGGTAAACTAAATATGCATAAATTACATTTCTGTTGCTTCACTGTATCATAAATTATACAACATTCAGGGATATTTGGTATTATAATGAGGGCAATTTGAAAACAACAAAAACAAAAGTTCTGTAATGGATATCTCTAGCAAAAATTTTAGTGGATATTTTGGGTAGACTCCTTCTTTAAAATTCTTTGTATTTTAGACAGCTCCTGGACATTACTGGTTAACATTTCCTCCTTTTGCCCACACACATCACTATGAAAGCCCAAAACATCTACCCCTTAAGATTCCCAAATGTTTCTTCAGGGTGATATCATTCCAAGTTGATAAACACTGGTAGAAGATAGGATAGATTGCCAATTCTGGAAGGCAGGGCTGTTAATCTAATATGATATTTTGCTGCTCAGATGTCACGTTAGCAGAGAAGTTTTCCTATAGAACCCTCGAAAATAGCAAACCTCATTCATGTGCAGCATCCCAGCAGTTGCTTTCTTAACTGCTTCAGTTTTTGCCTATAATTGTTAGGTGCTCTTTCGGCAGCTCCTAATCACAGCAACTTTGTATAACAGAACAAATGCTTCCTGGTCCGTCATCATCCTCACTATAGTTGCTATGTTTGAGCCCATTGTTGCAGACACTTTGTCATTCCATCTCATTGAGGGCTTCCTTCTTTTCCTTGACCTTGCACTTTATCAAGCATGATGTCCTTCTTCAGTTTGCACCTTCCTGATAACACTTTCAAAGTACATAAAATGAAGTGTCGCTTTCTTACCATTCTAGGGAGCATTCTGGCAGGACAGATTTGTTTGTTCTTCTGGCAGTCCATGGTCTATTCCATATTCTTTGTCAACATCAGTGGTTTCTAAACTGGTGATTGCATACTTCAGAGGGAGCATGGAAAACCAC